CCATAAAGGATCATAGGAAAAAATACAAGATTGATGAAAATTAATAACATAGCCAGGAAGGCAGAACTTTGGATATAACAAACCAAAGTGTGAAAAAAAATTCAGTGGTTCCATGAACAGTTTTAGCTATAACATCTTAAAATTTTTCTAGAATAATAAGATAATTAAGGATATATTATCCATTGCAGTGGCTGTGAGAATGTACCTCAGAGACTGCTAACTACAGGGAGTGTAATTAATCAAGGGTCCCAATTACTGTGTTTTGAAATTTGTGTTTCCTCACCCTTCATGGGTCACTCCCAGCCAACGACCGTGTGCATCATATTAATTCTTCCAATCCATGAACACGGTATATCTTTCCCTCTGTTTGTGTTGGCTTCAGTTTCTTTCATCAGTGTCTTATAGTTTTCCGAGTACAGGTCTTTTACCTCCTTATACACTTTTAATAAAATTGTATCTGCTTCTATTAGCCAGAGTTGATTTTTGCTCTTTGCAAATAAGACCTTGATTAATACTCTACCTTTCCTGAATGGGTAATTCAAGAGACTTTGGTTCTTACTGCTTGGACTAGACTGCATTGCTCTTGAATGCATTCAAGGTCAGCACCAGTGTGCCAGATATCGAGTCTTTATTCATCTGAGGAACTTGTTTTATGCCTGAGCAAGATTAGTTCTGCCTCTGCTTTGTGAAGCTACCCACAGGCGTGCAGCAGGCCTTAAATTCTGCTGTTTTGCTTCAGTTTTCCCAGCTAATAAATGGTAGACTAGGGATTTATTCATATTTTCTGACTCCAAAGTATTTGCTCCTCTACTGACTTTGATTAGTTATGTCTCACAGTTGGGGATGGTCCCTCTGAGGGTAAGATCTCTTCTCTTCCCAAATCACAGCATTAAGATAGTTTCCACATCATCCAATTGACTACCTCCTGTTGACAATAGCAATCATTTTGATTCGCACGCCATATTTATTATTGAAACGTCTTAATAGCATCCACCCCACCCATCCTACACCTTCCACCTCACTAATGTACTGCACGTATCTCTGCACTTGTCCTTCATCAGTGTACCTTTCACTAACTTCCTCTCTCCAGAAGGAACAGCATGATCTCAGCACCCTGGTCAGCCTGGATTCCACCACTGGAATCATTGCTGCTTCTCTTCCTGCTTCCAAAACTCCTGGTGTGCTTCCTTCATTGCTCAGTTTGGCCCTTTTTCAATCCCAACAACTGGAATAACACAGCAATTTACACTTCATATAGAAATGCATGGCTTTGACTCAGGTAACTAGAGAAGGAAAACTTAGAGAAAGCTTTCATTAAATCGCAAAAAGATAGTGACTCCAGAATTCATTCCAGAATTTCTGAGTGCTCCATCAAGTGATTCTTTCATTCTTTTTTCACAGCTCTACACTTTTCCCTCTTCTGACCCCAAAACTGTTTTGAAATGATAGGTAGTTTTGTGGAGAGAATAGACCCTTAATGTTGCAGAAGGCTATCTACTGTTTTAACTGAACAAGAGCTTCCCACAAATAAAATGAACTTACTTTATGTATTTAATTGTATACGAAATTCATAGATAGAAGGCTTATTTTTGTAAAAGAAGAATCTTGCTGGGTTGATGATTCCTACTGGTTTCCTAATAGAAAAAAAAATGGATGTCTCAGTTGAAATACATAATAAGCCTTGAAAATTCTCCAAATCACCTCTCCTTTTTAAAAATGTTCAGACTGAAAGATGAGATGGAGACAGCAGTGCTGTTGAAGATCAAATAAAGTACCATTGTAAGCGTTCTCAGTAGACAGAGCTCATCCCATAAGTCATTAAACACATAAATTCCAGAAGAACACATCAATGTCATCTTTCACTGCTCCAACAACACATCCAAAGCAGAGTAAAATATTTTCAATAAATTTGACATCCAGATTGCTTATTTCAGTGTTTCCACTTTTCTCTTCATCACCTTCTGTCCCAGAGATAAAAAGTTGAAAATAGCGATAGAAAATTTCAGATGTTTTCCAATAGCTGATTCTTCTAAAATATTGATGAAATTCATAACGAAAATATTTTTTAGTGTTTCTCTGTTAGTGCCACCAAAACGATCCAAGCAAATGATTATTTAATAAAGAGCAATGCATACAGTCAATTCATAGGAAGCCACAGGTACCAAAGAGGATGTGTCAAGAGAGTTTGAGAACAGTGAGAGGAAGAGGTTATCAAGTGAAACTGAGAGCTGCGGAAATCAAGTCTCAAGGGAACACATAGCACCTGTGAAGGTGGCCCACTGTACAAAGTGCTTTGTAAAAGTGCTGCCTCTGAGACTGAGGACTTGTGGTTATAAAGACCTAGTTGTAATTTTGGGAAATCGTGCCTGTAATTGATTCCACTAAAATATAAGTTGCCTAGAAGAGAAAATGTCATGACTGACAAAAAAACAGAAAGCAGTAGATGGAAGAATTTGTCAAGCACCCTACAGCAGTCTCAGAGAAGCTGGGGCTGACTCCAACGGCCAATTCCAGTCACCAAGCCAGAAGACCCCTAGGGGTGATGCAGCTCCACAGGCGGCCAAAGCCTGGCAGGCACGTCTTGTGAAGCCATCCACCACCCTTTCCACCCTTCTCATCTCAACCAGTGCTCACCAGTGGACCTTGTGATCTATGATTTGCTTTCTGCAGTGAAATGGGAAGTTATGTCCTAAGTCAAGAGTCAGGATCTGTGGCCTCGTTGAATACAGATTTGAACATACATTGGCAATCTGGTGTATGAACTAGTTTCTACAATTCTGGGTTAATGTAAATCAGTTTCTGCTTCCTGATTACTTCTTAGTGAACTGGTAAATATTTTTCTTTTGGAAACTGCAGGGCTATAAACTAGACACTGAGCTAATGTTTTCACCAAAGCCTGCCTTCCCATGGAATTCTGCAGAGAAGCTTACTTCAGTATCTTAAATATCTCTTTTACCCCAGTAAGGAGCACAACCATTCAATTGTCCTATTTTTCCAACTTGGGAAGGCATAGGAGTTATCTAAATCGAGATGAAATTTTGTGATTACAGTCTGCAAAATTCACAAAAAGACGCATTACCATATATACATGAATGCGCTACTCTCCATGTAAACAAGTGATTACTTATTTAGGAAGAGAATTATCATCACTGCAGACGTAAAATTTCGTAAGTCTTATCCTTCTCCTTCATAATCCTTTTAAAATAAGAAGGTATAAATAATTATACATTTTAATTCAGACTTTGGTATTCCAAATATTGTTTTATACTTTGCTGCTCACATTAGCAGACTAATTTTTAGAACAGGGTTTTGATAAATGTATTCATGTAAAATTTTTTTCAAATGGTAATCTTATAATTCTTTCAGTTCTTTATCCTAAGTAAAATTATGAACTATCAGCTATTTATTCCAGTATTATTTTAAATTTACCCAACAACATTATTTATGCTAGTACATGCCACCTCTTAATGCTGAAAATACAGTACTAAACAAGACACACAGGTCTCCAGTCTAATGGGCCTTTTGGACATTAAATTCTGGTGGGGGTACCGAGAGACTAATAGTAAACAAGTAAACAAGCTGATTTCAGGGCCATGAATAAGATAAAACAAGGTGATGTAATGAGGTAAGTGTGTGTGTATGTGTGTGTGTCTGTGTCTGTGTCTGTGTGTGTGTCTGTGTCTGTGTCTGTGTCTGTGTCTGTGTCTGTGTCTGTGTGTGGGTTGGAGGACGTTTGTTTAGACTGAGTTCTTAGAGAAGGCCTCCATATGAATGTGACATTTAAGCTGAAACCTGAGTGAAGGAGGGAATGGAGAAGTCAGGGGCAGATCTGGGGAGAGAACATCACAGGTAGATGGAGTAAAACAAGCGAAGCTCCAGAGGTAGGAGCAGAGTGGGTATGTTGACCTGTGGCAGACAGACAGCTCAGGTGCCTCCGTATGACTGACTCATTCTGGTGTATATATCTTTGGATAATTCCCTCCGTAGAAGTGTATGTGTATGTGTTATCTGTGACGTGCTTCTAAACAATCAAAAGATGAGCTGTCACTCCTCTTACGTGATATAAGACTCTATCTTGCTATCAGACTCAGTCCAGTCTCTCACTCTTTTTCTATTGTTAGCAAACCACAGCCAAAAGGAACTGAATGCTTTTGAAACCCACACCAGTGGAGAACCTGCTGCTTCCTTAGCTGGGCCTCCAGATGAGAACACCATCTTGACCAGTCCCTTGATTGGAGCCTGTGAGACCCTAAGCAAAGGATCCAGGTAAGCCATGCCTGGACTCCTGACCCACAGAAATTATGAGATAATAGATGTGTTGTTCTACCTTGTTAAATTGTAGCAATTTGTTACAGAACATAGAAGTCAATCCATGGCCCCTAATCAGAATGTACTTCTGGCTGAAGGGCCATGATCCAAGGGAACAGGACTACATTTGAGATGAGGCTGAAGGATGACGACGTAGGACCTTGAGACATGGTAAGAAAATTTGATTTTACTATTAAGTGTGTTAGAAAGTCACTGGAGAGATTTAAATAAGAGAGTGATATGATTAGGCATTTCCTAGTTACTTGTGAAGGGTGGGCTATGGGGTGACCAGAGTGAACAGGAAGACATCTCAGAAGGCAGCTACGTTCATTAGTCTAGATGAGAGAGTGAAGTGGCTGGGATTAGGGTGGTAGAAATGGAGTATAGTTTTTAAAAAAGAGAGACAGAGAGCGAAGAGTCAGGAAAAATTTGAATGCAGTCTACCAAATCGTTTGGATTCAGCAACTGGGAGTATGGTGATTTCTTTACTGAAATGGAGAAATCTGAGAGGTAAAGTTGGGTTTCTCAGGTAGAACATAGAGGGGGCAAATCCAGAGTGCTATTTTGACCTGTTAAATTTGAGATATCAGTGACATATTCAGGGGTAAGATGTCAAGGAAGCTATTGAATAAGCAGGTCTGAGACTCAGTATGAGTGATACATATTTGGAAGTAATCAGAATACTGATTGTACTCTTTCTCTTCCTGTCCCAGGCGATTCGGGATCTCCCAGCCCCAGGACAGACACGGCCACGTCGAAGAACCACAACACACACAACCAGTCCTGAAAATGGCACAGAAATGGCATCAAAAAACCCCGATCACCACGATACAAATCTCTTAAGGGGGTGGACCCCAAGTTCCTGAGGAACATGCGCTTTGCCAAGAAGCACACCAAGAAGGGCCTGAAGAAGATGCAGGCCAACAGTGCCAAGGCCATGAGTGCATGTGCTGAGGCTAGCAAGGCTCTTGGAAAGCCCAAGGAGGTCAAGCCCCAGGTCCCAGAGGGCAGCATCCGCGAGCTCAGTCGACTTGCCTACACTGCTCACCCCAAGCTCGGGAAACGTGCTCGTGCCTGGATCGCCAAGGGTCTCAGGCTCTGTCGGCCAAAGGACAAGGACAAGGCTCAGACCAAGGCTGCAGCTTCAGCTGCAGCTCCGGCTCCGGCTCAGACTCAGGCTCCCAAAGGCCCCCAGGCCCCCACAAAGGCTCCAGAGTAGAGGCTTCCATCTATTGATGTGAGGATAGAAGGACTGCTGTGACCCCTGGGCTGCTGTTAGTTAAAACCAGAAATGGGATTGGAAGAGGGAGTGTTAACATGATACGTAATAAGGAAAACTTAAATAAATATAGAAACTTGCTTCTGACACTGAACAGAGAACTTTGCTTTGTTGACATCTAAAGCAGTAGGCTATTATCACTATGTTTAACAATATTCATAAAATAATTCTCTAATGAGCACTTACTATTTGCTTGAGATTTGGAGACTGGGAGTCATGTGCATATAGTAAAATCAAAGTTAGCTCACACAACATTGTAAAATGAATATAAATCAATAAAAAATGTTAAAAAAAACCCAAAAAACAAAAAACCAAAGTTAGCTGAAGTCCCAGTGCAGCCATCCCCTATGCCAGCTTCTCCCTGGACAGGCCTTCCCATTCCCCACCCACCACCACCCCTGTTTCCATTTGAGCCATTGACTCAGCCCCAGCAAGCGACTCCACTAGTCTACCTTCACCCTTTACTGGTTTTATGTGATCTCTTTGTTTCCTGGCTTTCAGCCATTAGTCATACTTGTTTAAACTGCAATTTTCATTTCGAAGTTAGAAATGATTACTTCCAAAATAAAATCATCTACTGGTCTACATTTGAACCATATCCTCTCTTACTCTTTGGTTGTAGTAAGGCTAACACATGACACCCATGGATTATGGTTAAAGAGTCAAATGAATTGATAATAATAAACTGAAGATCTACAAAGATGTGATGTCGTTAAAGGAAACGGAGATAATCCCACACAGAGTTTTGACTGTAGGATTTCTCACTTCTCAAGAGTGAGTCTTATCTTTCTTTCATAAGCATGAAAAAACCTGGAGCTCAGGAGTGCCTCAGGCAAGTGAGTTTGAAGGTCTTCAAGACTGAACGAAAGATAATAATCAAAATCTAGGTCAAGATGCTATTTATTCTAGAGAGAATTGTTTAAGCTAATGCTTTAAATTTAACTCAGAACACATTTTAATATATGATTCATACCATGTCTATCAGATATTCTTAATGACTGCACACATTGTAATCTCATTCGGGCTATTTTACTTTGAGGAATTGTCTAACATCAAGTAGTACAGCCATTAAATTATCATTACAAAGCTATCAAATTTCCTTCATTGCATCTATTTCTCAAGACACAGTTATGCCATACGGGTCTGAAAGCTTTATAAAGTTCAATATACCTTTTCAGAGAGAGAATGAAAACAAAGCGTTTATGGTTTTACAAAAGGAACGGAATGGAAAAAGTGGCAAAGAAAAAAGATCTGGTCTGATGCATGACAAGGAAAGTTTACCCTTAGAGAACCAGAAGGAAGCTGCTTCAAGTTATGGTTAGCAACAGCACAGGCATGTTAAATTTTGTAATAATTGTTAAAAAAATAAGTAAAAACAATTTGTGAATTAGCCAAATTTTATAAAGTGGTGAACAGTTGGTGGGAACAAATATAATTATTCAATGTGAATATGTTTTTATGGAAGAAATTAAGCTATGCTGCATGTGAGCTACACTTCAACAATATCATTCTAGTTTGTGGTATACAACAAGTCAACATTTGGTATTTAAATGAATTTAAATGAACTACATGAAGTAGTTTACTCTGAAAGTTTCTTTTATCTTATCAATTCATTTGCATAGTTGGTCATGAACACTGGTTCTGCGTGATGACACATAAAGCACAGCATGAATGAAATTAGGATAAAGTCAAAGTGAGTCCCAAAAGACTTAGACACAGCAGTCCTGCTAAAATCCAGAGAATAAGAAAACAGAGCAAGATTGGACTCTCTGGCTAAAGGCTTCACATAGCAGTAGGACTATTTGGAAGAAAAAAATAAAGTGTTAAAAGAGGTAGAAATAGTTTGAGTTCTGTTAGAATAAGACTTAGCGTTTGCATAACCAGAAGTCTAGAGATGCTAAGGAGATGGATTTCATAGCAGGTGTGGGGGTGGGTGCTGAACTGTAGGATGAGAGAGTTACTCACACATCCAGCACTGAGGATGGAAAAGGAGGCCACTTCTGATTAGTAGCTGAGAACGAGGAGAGTGAGCCATGGCAATAGGGTCTGTAGGTTAGACCATGCAACGGAGCAAAGGACTAACAAGAGAAAGGCCAGATTTCTTACTGTGCTTTATGACCAAAACATTACACCAAATTTCCATAAATTGATGATTTTTTTCATAAAATGATGACTAATGGCCACAAGGAGGTTAGATAGGTGTAAAATTCTTAGTTACAAATAAACTTCCATAACTGCCAGTGGCTCAATGGAACTTTTCTAGGCATATGGTGATTATCCAGCCCAAATTACAACTGAGGAAATTGTGGACTAAAGGATGACATGAGCATCCAGCTAAAGGTTAAGGCAGAACACAGGCCATCCAGCTCTTCCAAGGTCAAGCGTCTCTCCAACACTCTCCAAGAAGGACATGTGATCTCTCCTTCAGGGACAGGATGGCTTATTGAAATTTACAAGAAAGCCCTGAACTGCCCTTTCAGCCAACATGTCAAACTTTCCCCCAAGCTAAATCAGAGTAAATCAGAGAGAAATAATAGAACATAGTTGATTTGCATTTTATCTTCTTTTATTTTCTGTTTTACTTCTCACAGGGCTGTTAACAAGCAGTGAAACGCCCAAGTGTCAGAAAAGGAGGGAAAGCAAAGGATACAGAAAACTCACAAAGTGACTAATCAGCCCCAGTGTGACAGGGCGTTAACACCAACATATTTATTTGGTGCAGATCAAAAATCTTCATCACATTTTCAAATCTCAAAGAACCCAAATGAATCTGGACCTGGAAGAACAAGTCCTCTGGAATATAATGACTTGCCAGCTTCCCCCAGAACCGACTGACACTTATCAAATGAAACCGAGGCACTAGCTCCTCTGATCCCAAAGGGTGTGGTGATAACTGAACATAAAAAACGATCTTCTGCTGGATCGTTCCCCTGCATGATTCCATCCGCGTTCCCATCTCCTGCACTGGACAAGTGTAGGCAACAGATGATCTTCAGACTGGGGAGAGGAAGCGCGAGGTGTTCTTTCCCGATTCCACGCACATATGCACACACGCACACGCCCGAGTGATCAGCCAGCTCCCTTCTGAAGAGCTGTCATTCCACCCACACCAATATATACAAATACCAAAGGGCCAAAGTCCTGGAGAGTGCTTTCCCGAGGTTATCCCCACTGCCTTTCCTGGGCTCACTTCCCCTCCTCCATGGTACCGCTGAGCTCATCTTCCTAGACTCTTTTGTCTCAGCCCCCAGATCAGATAATCTCCATCCCTTGGTCTTTAAAGCCATTTTCTCCCATCCTTCCAAGCAACTGCCCACTGCTGTGGCCCAGCCTCTACTGGGAGTTTCAGTTATTTCCTCCTGGCTTGTGTCCCTGCTAGCAAGGACAAAGAGGATTTCTCTAATTCTGAGAGTCATGGATAGAGGGAGAGAGAAAAAGGACAAGACTTCCGAAAAGGTCTGGCCCGAAGGTGAACTATCTAACAAAACCAGCCCCATCTCCTCAACGGTGCCTCTTCTGGTGGCTCATCTCCTGTATCTGAGTATCTAACCCCTTCCTGCTCTTTTAGGTGCAGATTCTAGAAAGTGTGAGCAGAATGTAAGTCAAAAATCTATAATGTCCCAAAACAATCCATTTCTGGTTGCTGCCGCATGAGCTGACACTTTCTTTGTTACAAAGCTCACTATACCAACCTGTTAGGATACTGCTGAGTAACTTGTTAGCAACTTCATCGGCAGAAAGAGAGAAAGATACTGGATTTAATTTATGCAGCAATGTTGTGCTGTGTGAAATATCTTATTCAGACCCCTCAGGAACATGAGCACAAGGTCAAAGACCCACTGTGTGTCTCAGACCTGTCCCAAAGGCTCCTGAGGGGAAGGGATGAGAAGAGGGGCTGACACTTGGTCCAACACCAGTTTGGATATGGCTGTGAAGGTATGTTTAGATGAGATTAACATTTAAATCAGTAACCTTTGAGTAGCGCAGATAAATGAAAAACTGAAGTCCCTGGAGGAAGAATGAATTCTGCCTCCAGACTGCCTTGGACTTGCGTTGCAATACCAGCTCTTCCCTGGGTTTTCAGCCTGCTGGCCTGATCTGCAGAATTTGGACGTGCCAGCTCCCATGATTTGCAGGATCCAGTTCCTTAAAATAAATCCCTGTCTCTGTCTCTTTCTCTTTAAACACACACACACACACACACAC